CATCCCTTCTCAGCCCACAGCTCCGGTCATGCTCCTCTTTCCCGTGTCTCCACTCAGAAGTCACTGGGCTTTCCAACCCACTCTCGTCTGACTCCTCCAGAACCCAACGCTGGCTCTGTGAGTCCAAAGCACTCTCCAGGTTCCCCTCTTCCAAGAAGTGTTTCCTCAGTGACGCCCTAAGTGACCGAGCTTTCACAGGGTCCCAGGCGGGTGGACCTGTCTGTCCCACGTTCCTGTGTGTTCTCTACCAGCACCTGGTAAAGCATAAGTCGTCTAGTTAAATCTGTTTAAATCAACAAATGTAACATGTGTCTACTTCAGTGTATTTTAAAATCTATTTAACAAACAAAGGGGCCACAGAAGAAAAGAAACATCTTGATGAAATAATATCCTGGGTCTTTCTGAACATGAGTAGATACAAATAAGTCAGATGAAAGTTTTTCTCCAATCGTCTCAGCAAAAGCCCCTTTCTTCTTTAATCTGCGTCCTGCAGTCACACACTACACTATCTAAGATCTCATTTGTTTCAGGTTCTCAAAAGCCGACTGACCCAGATACCGGTCTTTCTGAAGGAGTCAGATCAGAACTCCGACACAGGGGACCTTCCATTTTCCATCTGGTATGAAAAGTAAGTCACCACCGCGAGCAGCTCAGACTGCGTAATGGACACAGCCGACCTGCACGAGTCACACGCCTCTCCACGTCTACAGTGCCACTTTTTAAAGGCCTTTCTTTAAAATAGTTACTTAAGAAAATCCCAAAGTTTGCAGTAAAAATACCTGGTATGTAGCATTTTGGAAATTCACCCCCTGTCTTCTGTCAGTGGTCATGGTACAGCAGACCCTATAGTCACAGAAACAGAGCAAATTATCTGAACTCACAGAGGGAAGCAGATGAGGCTCTTCCCAGACGATGAACCTGGCACTGTCTCGAGTGGACCAGGAGGCCTTGCTCCTGCTGTTTCCAGATCTTAGCTATTGTAACTAGTGCTGCTATGAACATGGGGGTACATATATTCTTTCTGATTGGTGTTTCAGGCTTCTTAGGGTATATTCCTAGAAGTGGGATCACTGGGCCAGATAGCAGTTCAATTTTTAGTTTTCTGAGGAAACATCATATTGTTTTCCATAGTGGCTGCACCAGTCTGCATGCCCACCAGCAGTGTACTAGAGCCCCCTTTTCTCCACACCCTCGCCACCACTTGTTGTTTGATGATTTGTTGATGGCGGCCACTCCGGTAGGTGTGAGGAGATACCTCATAGTCATTTTAATTTGCATCTCTCTAATGATTAGTGATGTTGAGCATTTTTTCATGTCTCTTGGCCATTTGTATGTCCTGTTTGGAAAGCTGTCTATTTAGATCCTCTGCCTATTTTTTTTTTTTTTTTAATATCCTCATCCAAGGATATTTTTGCATTTATCTTCAGATAGAGTGGGAGGAGAGAGGAATGAAGAAAGACAAAGAAACATCGAAATGAAAGAGACACATCAAGTGGTTGCCAAACACACGACCCCAACCAGGGCGGAGGACAAACTGCAACCGAGGTACATGCCTTTAGTGGGAACCAAACCTCAGACTTTCTGGTTCATGAGCAGATGCTCTACCTGCTGAGCCAAACCAGCCAGGGCATCTCTGCTTATTTTTAATTGGATTATTTGTCTTCCTTTTGTTGAGTTGTATGTATACTTCTACATATTTTGGAAATTAACCCCTTATCTGATGTATCATTGGCAATGATGCGCTCCCATATAGTAGGTTCCCTTTGCATTTAGATGCTTATTTCTTTCTTTCTTTCTTTCTTTTTTTTTTTTTATCCTCACCCGAGGACATTTTTCCATTTTTTGCTCAGGTAGAGTGGGAGGGAGAGAGAGGAACAGAGAGAGAGAGAGAGAAACATCGATGTGAAAGGAACACATCGAGTGGCTGCCACCCGCACAACCGACCAGGGCCGGGGACAAACTGCAACCGAAGCACGCGCCCTTAGCGGGAACCGAACCCGGGTCTCTCAGGACCGCAGGCCGACACTCCAACCGCTGAGCCAAACCGGCCAGGGCTAGATGCTTATTTCTTTTGCTGTGCAGAAGCTTTTTAGTTTGATGTAGTCCCATGTATTAATTTTTTCCTTTGTTTCTCTTGCCTTAGGCATTGTATCAGTAAAAATTCTGTTGCGTGTGATGTCTGAAATTTTGCTGCCTACATTTTCTTCTAGGATTTTTATGGATTTACTAGTCACATTTAAGTCTTTTATCCATTTTGAGTTTATTCTTGTGTATGGTATAAGTTGGTGGTCTAGTTTCTTTTTCTTTGCATGTAGCTGTCTAATTTTCCCAACACCATTTATTAAAGAGGCTGTCTTTACTGTATGCTCTTGCCACCTTTGTCAAATATTAATTGAGCATAAAGTCTTGGGTCAATTTCCAGGTTCTCTGTTCTGTTCCATTGATCTATATGCCTGTTCTTGTGCCAGTACCAGGCTGTTTTGATTATAATGGCTTTGAAGTATAACTTGATATTCAGTATTGTGATTCCTCTTGCTTTGTTCTTCTTTCTCAAGATTGCTGTGGCTATTTGAGGTCTTCTTTGGTTCCATATAAACTTTTGAGTATTTATTGTAGTTCTGTGAAAACTGTCATTGGTATTTTAATGAGGATTGCAATGAACCTATAGATCACTTTAGGTAGTATGGATGTTTTAATGATGTTAATTCTTCCAATCCATGAACAAGGTATATGCTTCCACTTTTTATGTCTTCCTCTATTTGTTTTTCCAATGTCCTATAGTTTTCTGAGAAGCAGTTCTTTACTTCTTTGGTTAAGCTTATTCCTAGGTATCTTAATTTTTTTTCTTTTGTTGCTGCAATGGTAAATGGGATTGTTTTTTAGTTTCTCTTTCTGCGAGTTATTTATTGGTATATAAGAATGCCATCAATTGTTTGATGTTAAGTTTGTATCCTGCTACTTTGCCAAATTTTTTTATTAAACTGGTAGGTTTTTGATGGACTCTTTAGAGTTTTCGATGTACAATATCATGTCACCCACAAATAATGAGAGTTTCATTTCCTCCTTCCACTTTGGATCCCTTTTATGTTTTCTTCATGTCTAATTTCTGTGACTAAGACTTCTAGTACTGTGTTAAATAAGAGTGGCAAAAGTGGACATGCCTGTCTTGTCCCTGTTCCTAAGGGAAATGCTTTTAGTTTCTGTCCATTGAGTATGGTGTTGGCTGTAGGTTTCTCATATATGGCCTTTATTATGTTGAGATATGACCCCTCTATTTCCACATTGCTCAGTGTTTTTATCAGATATGGGTGCTAGATTTTGTCGAATGCTTTTTCACCATCTATTGATATGATCATATGGTTTTTGTCTTTCATTTTGTTTATGTGGTGTGCCACTTTTATTGATTTGCGAATATTGTACCAGCCTGGCATCCGTGGGATGAATCCCACTTGGTCATGGTCAATAATTTTTTTAATCTATTGTTGGATCCTATTTGCTAGTATTTTGTTAAGAATTTTGGCATCTATGTTCATCAGGGATATTGGCCTGTAGTTTTCTGTCTTTGTAGTGTCTTTATCTGGTTTTGGAATTAGAATTATGCTGGCCTCATAAAATGAGTTTGGAAGTCTTCCTTCTTTTGAATTTTTTGGAATAGTTTGAGGAGAATGGGTATTAGTTCTTCTTTGAATGTTCAGTAAAAATCCCCCCATGAAGCCGTCCTGGCCCCGGCTTTTGTTTGTTGGGAGATTCTTGATTACCTCCTCAATTTCCTTAGTTGTTATTGGTCTGGTCAAAGTTTCTATCTCTTCCTGGTTCAGTCTGGGGAGACTGTATAATCCTAGAAACTTGTCAATTTTGCCTAGATTGTCCAATTTGTTGGTGTATAATTGTTCATAATACTTTTTCACAATCCTTTGTATTTTTTTTTCTTTATTGATTTTAGGGAGAGAGGAAGTGAGAGAGAGAGAGAGGAAGTGAGAGAGAGAGAGAGAGATCAATGAGAGAGAACATCGATTGGCTACCTTCTGCATGCTCCTCACTGGAGATCTGGCCCACAACCCAGGCATGTGCCTGACCGGGAATCAAACTGGTGACCTCTTGGTGCATGGGTTGATGCTCAACCACTGAGCTACACTGGCCAGACACCTTTGTATTTCTTTAGTGTCAGTTATTACTTCCCTTCTTTCATTTCTGATTTTGTTTATTTGGGTCCTTTTCCTTTGTTTCATGGTGAGTCTGGCTAAGGGTCCATCAATCTTGTTTATCTTTTCAAAGAACCAGCTCTTTGTTTCATTGATATTTTGAATTGCTTTTTAGTCTCTATGTCATTTATTTCTTTTCTGACTTTTACTAATTCTTTCCTTCTACTTGCTCTTGTTTTTTTGTTTGTTTGTTTTGTTACTTTCTATTTCTTTAAGTTGTAGGGTTAGATAGTCCATTAGAAAATTTTCTTGTTTCTTGAGGTAGGCCTGTAGTGCTATGAACTTCTCTCTCAGGACTGCTTTTGCTGCATCCCATAGATTTTGTGTTGCGTTGTGTTCAGTCATTGGTTTTCCAATTTCATTGAAAGTTTCTAATTTCATCCTTGTTCTCCTTGGTAACCCATTTATTGTTGAATAACATGTTATTTAGCCTCCATGTGTTTAAATGTTTTTGAGTTTTTTCATCATAATTGATTTCCAGTTTCATGCCATTGTGATCTGAGAATATGCTTAATATGCTTTCATTCTTCTTGAACTTGTAGAGACTTAGTTTGTGTCCTAGTGTGGTCAAGCTTTGAGAATGTCCATGTGCACTCTGCAATTTTGGGGTGTGATTCTCTGTAGATACCTATTAAATCCATTTGATCTAGTGCTTCATTTACAGTCTCTGTTTTCTTGTTAATTTTTTTATCTAGAAGATTTATCCAGTGATGTTAGCAGGGTGTTGAAGTCCCCCTCTATAATGGTATTGCTGTTGATTTCTCCTCTAAAGTCCTCCAGAAGTTTGTGCTTTTTTTGTTTAACGTGGAGCACTTCACGAATGTGTGTGTCATCCTTTCACAGGGGCCGTGCTCATCTTCTCGGTATCATTCCAGTTTTAGTACATGTGCTGCCAAAGCGAGCACCAGAAGTTTTTAAATGTATTTTGGTACTCCTATATTGAGTGCATATATGTTTACCGAGGTTATATCCTCCTGTTCAATAGATCCTTTCAATATTATGTAGTGGCCTTCTTTGTTTCTAGTTATGGCCTTCATTTTGAAGTCTATTTAATTGAATATGAATATTGCTACCTTAGTTTTTTCTCCCTTTCAATTTGCTTGGAAAATTTTTTTCCATCCCTTCACTTTGAACCTATGTGAGTCTGTTGTTGTGAGGTGGGTCTCTTGCAGACAACATATATATGAGTCATGCTTTCTCATCCATTCAGCTACTCTGTGTCTTATTATCAGAACATTCAATCCATTTACATTTAAGGTTATTATTGATAGGTACTTATTTATTGCATTTTTGTTTATTATGGTTATGTTCTCATTTCTTCTGCTTATTACAGCAGTCCTTTTAACATTTCTCACAGTGCTGCTGGTTTGGTGCTAATATATTCCCTTAGCCTCTTTTTGTCTGGGAAGCTCTTTATTTGACCTTCTATTTTGAATGATAGCCTTGCTGGATAGAGTAGTCTTGGATTCAGATCCTTGTTTTTCATTGCCTTGATTACTTCATACCATTCCATTCTAGGCTGTAGTGTTTCTGTGGAGAAGTCAGCTGATAGCCTTATGGGGGCTCCTTTGTAGGTAACCTGTTGCTTATCTCTTGCTGCCTTTAGAATTCTCTCTTTGTCTTTAATTTTTGGCATTTTAATTATTGTGTGTCTTGGTGTGGGCCTCTTTGAGTTCTTCTTACTTGGGACTCTCTGTGCTTCTTGAACTTGTAGGCCTTTTTCTATTTACCAAGCTAGGGAAGTTTTCTGTCACTGTTTCTTCAAATGTATTGTTTAACCTTTGCTCATTTCCTCCTTCTTCTGGAACTCCTATGATGCAGATGTTCTTATGTTTCATGTTGTCCCACAATTCTCTTAAGCTGTCTTCCTTTTTTTTAATTTTTTTTTTTTCTTTTTGGTTCTCTGATTGGGTGATTTTTTTTTTTCCTACCCTGTCTTCTAATTCACTGATCCAATCCTCAGCTTCCTCTACTCTGGTGCTTATTCTTTCCAATGTGCTCTTTATTTCTGCTATGTCATTCGTTATTCCTACTTGGTGTTTTTCATTTCCAGTTGTTTGATTTTCAATGTTTCTATATCTTTACTCATGTTGTTTAGCTCTTTATTCATGCTACTGACCTTCCTCATAACCATTATTCTGAACCCTACCTCTGATAACTTGCCTAATTCCATTTCATTTTTCTCTTCTTCTATAGAAACCTCTTGTTCTTTCAATTGGGATTTAGTTTGTTTCATGATTTTGGCTGTCTCAGTGGGTTTTGGAGCCTACCTAATTTTCTCTGTCTGTGTAGGTTTTCTGCTGATTGTGGCTCCCTTTACTGGATTTGGATGAGTGTAGGAGGACCCACATTAAACACCACTATCAAGTCTTACTTTCCTGGGTAGATTTGCAGGCTAAGCAAAGGTGTAGTTATCCTACAGCTTTTGCCTGCAGTCTATTTGTATCAGTTACTTGATGAGCCTCAGGTTTTAGCCCTCAACTGAATGCAAAATCCCTCAGGTGTACAGGGTAAGAGGATTTCCAGTGGGCAGGACAATGGCTTTGTTCTCCCTCCTTGCTTGCTGGTAGTCTCTATCTGTTAATGAACCTCAATATGCATGTTTCTGCACTGGTCTGGTGTTGTTAAATTCCTGAGGGAGGGGCCATTGCTTCTCCCTGGGGCTTTGAGAAGGGGCTCTTTGAGTAATATGGCTAATGTCCTATGAGGAAGTGATTCAGCATAAAAATCCCAGTGTCATTCTTCCAAGCTCTCTCTCCTGTGCCACGAACCCCTGGTTCTCTTCACACAGTTCCAGTTCAATCTGCCTTCCCTCTGCCAGAGCCCAAGTTGAGTGTCTGTAGCTGATTTGGTGTTCTGGCCCTCCAGGGAGGTGCCATTTTTTCCTGTGACTCTCCTTGCCAGACAAAGCCTCAGCTCTGATGATTTCAGCCTGGTGTTATGTCCCGCCACTCTGTGCTGGAGAGCCACCCCTCTATGCTGGGGTGCTGCCATTTTGTGTTGTGGAGCCAACTTCAGGTTTTAACCCCCAACTTCTCGGAGGGAACTACTCACAGATAAAACAGCCCTCAGCTGCTTTCTGTGGGCACCCAGCCAGCCCTCTTGTGCCTCCACAGCTCCTACCAGGCTCAATTTGGTGTCCTCTTCACATCCTGTTTATAAGGGTTCTCTCCTGCTGCTTTTCAGTTGTTTTTTTTTTGTTTACTTGTCTTTATTTTAGCTGTAATTCCAGTTTGGTCCTGGGAAATGGTTTGTGTAGCTTCCATTCACTCCACTGCCATGTTTTCCTCTCCATAATAAGAAATTTTTTTAAAAAAAGGAAAAACCATTAAGTACTTAACAGATATGGATGACAGCAGTTTATATTCTTGGAACTTCTACCAGATCCAGAATAAATGTTCAATGAATACTGATGGGATTTTTTTTTTTTTTTTAGTTTAGAAAAAGGCATCAATAAATTCAAGTAATAAATGGATTTAATATTAATTAATTTATTTAAAAATCATTTAGGGAACACCCAGTGTGTGCCAAACACTGAACTTAGAAGAAAAACAAAGGGATATAATGAGGTGTTTCCTGCAGGTTTGGGTAGGGAGATGACATAAACACAGGTTATAAGGGGAATGCGGAGGGAGAGGCCAGTGGCTCGGGTTCAGTGTTTGGGGTCAGGTTGGCCAGTCAGTGTCCAGGGGGAGCTCAGAGGAGGAAGTTGACCTTGAGCCACACTGTGCTGTGAGGCTTGGGGTTTAGATGAGGTGTGGGGGGTAGCAAACCCGAGGCTTACATAATAAACTAACTTCTCTTTTACTCACATTTGGCAACACTGAAGGTACGTACATTGGTCTGTGAGAGATTTGCTTCGATAAGCCTTCCCAGTCGCTAGGATAGACGTGCACTTGCCGGAGCAGGGGCAGCCTTCTCCTGCCTCCTGCTCTAGTTCTGGCTCACCTACCACAACACTGTGTGGGTGGGTTGTGACTGATAAAAGAGATGATCCTGACACCTGATGAAAGGTGGACAGGCAAAGGGAAGTGAAATCTAAGATCCAAAGAGAGAAAATAGAGTGCTTGAGAGGGTAACATTCAGACTAGATACTGTCTTAATTCAACATTTCTGCTCAGTCACTCCTTTCAACGTGATAGCCGGTATGTATCTGGTCTTATAAAGGCCAGAATGGGCTCGGTGAGATGGATTCACACTGTTGTTGTCTGGACATTGCTGGGCAGATGTTGCTTCTCTTCTCAAACTTCTCACAACGTTCACACCTCACACAGGAAACCTCTAAGATCATGTGGTATAGTCCACAGAATCATTTTATTGAAAAGTCCAATATTAAAAAGGAGTCCCCTCTCCACTGCCTTCCCGGAGGGAACCCACAGGCATTGCCTCCCAGGGCCGTCACCAGAGGGGCCGAGGCAGGACAGTAGTCAGCGTCTCCGTTTCGGATGCAGTTTGAGCTGATTGACTCCCTCCAGACCATGCACGTTGTGGACGACCCCTCCCAGACCCCAGTCTTCTACGTCAAGTCCAGTGGGGTTTCTCTCAGGCTCTTCCAGCCGCAGTTTGAACTTACACAGAACCCAGCTGGTGTGGCTCAGTGGTTGAGTGTTGACCCATACACCAAGGGGTCACCAGTTCGATTCCCAGGCAGGACACATGCCAGGGTTGTGAGCCTGATGCCAAGATTGTGGGCCCCGGACCTAGTGGGGGCATGCAGGAGAGGGCCAATCGATGTTCTCTCTCATCAATGTTTCTATCTCTCTCCTTCTCCCATCTTCTCTCTCTAAAATCAATAAAAAAAAAAAAAAAATTTACATAGAAAGAGCAAGGGGAGGAGATTCTCGGAGCATGGACCAATTACCCATGGCTGCTGTGGCATCTGAGGCTAGGCCAACCTCCCAGAGCCTCCCTCCTCTCATTGGGTTTGAGATTTCCCCTCTGAGATGTGAACTCACTAGACTCCATTCCGGAATGAAACTTGGCCTCTCTGCCCTCCATTTTCCCACGTGCTCAGGGGATGAATACCTTCTGCAAATGGCCTGCTCACACCAGGGGCAGCTGGCCCCTTCCTCCGGCCACCACCCCCTGTCACTTCCCGTCTGTGAGAGAGGGAGGAAGACTGTCCTGAAGGCTCCATGGGTTACAGACAAGCAGACAACGTCCTTGAGTATCAGAGCTTAATGTGTTGCAGAAAGATAGAGACTCATTGCACGTGAGAGTGTTGACCCGGAATCGCACACGTGTGATAGGCACACACGTGCTGACTTCGACATGAGGGCTGACGCTGACCAATAAATCCCTGAAAAGTTCAATATATCCTTGGTTAGGTGTGATCCTACACGGACGAACCAGGAGAGCCTGTACTGTTTTATTCTTTCCCGTTACTTATGATGCATATTATTTGTAGTTTATGATATATATGTATATATTCTTTACATGTTATTTTTCTCCTTATTTAATTTCAGACAGTCTGAATGTCACTTGATTTCAGTAGGTTATTTTTATGTTTACATTTATCAGCATTGTAGCAGCTGCGTTGGGTTTTCGGTCCTCTTGTGCATTTGGTTTGTTTGGTTTGTTTTTCTGTGGGTACTTTTGTTTGCTTTTAATCCTTTGTACTTGAGGATATTTTCCTTGTTAAATAAAGCACCAATGTTTTGGTTCTGTGACTTTAATAGAATGTCATTTATAAGTTTGTGTTATGTACCAGTTCTTTACCTCGTGACGGGACCTCCGTGACTGACAGCTCTGGATAAACAGGGAATGAGTGTGTTTGCGTCACCTGCTGCCTCTCCACGCGGGTCTGCTCCTCGCCTGCTAGTTCACCTCTCGGGCCTCACCTGCTGCCTCTCCATGCGGGTCTGCCTCTCGCCTGCTAGTTCACCTCTCGGGCCTCACCTGCTGC